TAGCAAGACGGAAAAGAGAAAAACCTGGTACGTAAAACATTTCATTCCAGCATTTTTTTCGAAAAAAATGAAATATCTGTAACTATCAAGATTTCTTTTATAATTCTGGCATATATATAAAACTGCTTCTTTTCCAAGATAAAGTAGATATTGTTGAAAAATTTAAAAAATAGTAAGTAAACTCCTCCCCAAAACTAGCTATAACTGAAATGGTTTTACTACCAGCCTTTCCTCTTTTCCGTCTCGCTTTCACCCCTGTACTAAGTCTATCTTTACGATGTGAAGGTTTAAAGGTAGGTAACATACTTTCGGGCACAACAGTTTCGCTCACATATACCGCTAAGTATGACATATCAAAACATGCAATAGAAACGAATTATTATTTTGGAATATCTCGAGCAGGAAGACCCTTAAAATCACACTTGCATTTAAATTTTCCCCCAACCACAAAAAGGAGGTAATGGGGGAAATAACAATCACCATGGAACCTATAGTTACAACTGATAACGGTAGAAATTAAGCGAACGTCGGTACACTGCCGCGAAGCGGCATTAACAAATTCGTTGATAGTATTTAATCGATGATGGGGAAAATTAAAGAGAAAAAGAGATGGGAGGGGAGGGGTGCAAAGCACCAATAAAGCGAGGAGGAGATTGTATGACAGGACGTGAACAGTCATATGATTAAATGGGATTGAATTAAGACGATAATATGAGTAATAAACAAGATAAGGTAATCATGGATAATATTATAAGCGAAAAACGTTAAATAAGAACTGGGTTAAATAATTATTTGGACTGGGAGCCAATGGGCTTTGAAGACACTTTTGAGGTCATCCAGAGGGATTGGGCGACTGAGTAGCAAATCTCGCTTGAGAAAATGATTCGATTGCTGAAAAAGCACCATGGGAAGATGCTAAATGCTCTAGCGGTTGCGGAGTTTGCACAGTTGGCATGCGAATTTTCGCACATCATTTCCAAACAGACCGTCCTACTGTCCTTCACCAAGGGTCGGCAAGCTGAGACTGAAAGAGCTCTGAATCTCTTGATTAAAAAGAAAGAAAGCAAGGACCCAAAAACCTATGCTGAAGCACTGAAGTTGAAGAGTCAGCCGTGAGACTTGGCGATCCCAAAAGTCGAAAAAGCATATCTTATTAATTGAATCAAAGGAGAAGGCGCCTCCTGAAGAGACAAAGCGAGTCAGCAAAGAGAATGTTGATCTAGCTGAGACTGAGCTCAGAGTAAAAGAGCCACTACCCGTGGTTGCTTCGTAATCGGGGGGCATCAAACATTTGGCGTATGGGCCGCATATGGCCTGGGCATCACCTACTATATCAAAAAGCCTCCACACGGTCTTTTATAAGTAGTCCGCGCAGAATATTTAAAAAGTGAACCAGTTGTGCGCATGAACCCAAAACCTTTTATAAAAGTAATTGAGAGAAATTAATCATACTAGGAGGCTCCGCCCCCTGCTCTCTAACGCTCGCCAACCCCCGAGAATTGCTACGCAATCCTATGTGGTTCACGCCGTGNTTTTTAGTCATATATTTGCTACCACTTTCTTATTTTAACTAGATTTTGTATTACGTGACGCGTTCAGAAAGAGGATACCCTTAACAATAGTCTGATTG